CAGCCCTGCAGTTAGTCTTTGCACAAACACTCCAGAAAGAAGACTGTACCTGGAGCACAGCCTGTCAGACATAGCCAGGAACACAGATTTTAAGCAAACTTGCAAGGTACTAGAGATATTTGAGGTTGGTTCCAGCTTTTGGCTGAAATAAGCCTTGATTTTTCAGGTAGGTAACCCAAAACTTGTTATCATACTCGGGATGGGGAAAGGTTGTTTTTTCTCGTTGTTTTTTTAACAAGTTATTCATGTGAGTCTTTGAAGGCAAATACTTCAAGACCTAAAAAGCTTAATGACAACTGGAAAGTGAAATCACCTTCTTGCTATTTGCCACCCAAAGTGAAAAGAAAAATGAATAGTGAGAAACCAATCTGTTTTTAAAAGCAATGAGACTTCTGTTAAAAAAAAAAAAAAAAGAAAGAAAGAAAAAAAAAAAGAGAGAGAGAGAGAGAAAATTCACATGTCGATCAGGCTGCTCTTATCAAATTCAAGGCACATCTTGGCCAAATTCCAGTCCTGACAAAGGTTTCCTGACAGACACTGCCAGCGCCACAGACACCCCATTCAGGAGCATTCAGAAGCTCTAGCCCGGAGGCACTAAACTCCACCGGCAACTCCTTCTTTCACTGATGGTTTCCAAGACTTTGCAGCCGCCTCGCTGCATTTTCACAGCATTTTCACCATGGCCTCGCATGCATTTTCACCATGGCCTCGCGGGAGCTGCACAACGCAGTGACAAAGCCAATGTTCTCTTCAGAGATGGTCCGTAATTGTGATGGTGTCACCCAGGTTTTATATGATGCCCTAATGGGAAGGAGCACACTTAATGCCCACTAGAAATGTGCCTCTCTAGGGTCATCTGCTGCAGACAACCCTTCACAACTTGCATCCTTGCACAGAACAGAATAAAATTCCCTGCAAGAGACACGTGCAAGAAGAGCAAGGAGCCTTGCACCATCATTCAGAGTTACTAGCTACTCACCTGGGAGAAAGGTGTGGAATGGAAAGAAAAACACACCGTTCCTGAACAGCACAGGCTGTTTGGAAGCGCTGTGTTTGAACACGTACGCTCACCTTGCTACAGACATGCACCCTGTTGTAAAGCACCCTGTCCAGGTGCTATTCAGGATATTAATTTCACAAACATCTGCTAGTTCCTAACTCTCAGCAGTAGTGTGGGATTCACTGGGATTTAATACCAGCTTTACCATGTAGAAGCTCTCGGCCCATTTCATGGAAGATGCCCACCACATTGGTGGTGATCCCCATTCTTCTCAGAGAGCAGGTCTCCACTAACCAAAAAACCCTGCTCACCTGTTGCCAGATCGTGGTGCATCTCTGGTCATAAATTTCAGGTTGCTGGGCCTCACAACTGAATTGCTAGAGAATTTTCTGCACATAAGCAACATATTAACTTACAAATTTTCTACATCAGTCAACCTGGATTGCTGCTGTATGGCTTTTCAAGGATATTTGAAGAAAAAGAAGGAATTACCTAAAAAGCCTCCTTCCCACTGAAGCTATAGCAAACATTCCCTCTGTCAGGTGACTACAAGGAGCATTGGCTAAACTTTCCTGGCATGAGGCACTGGCTCAGCATCTCTGAGCAAACTTGGGATGCCTTTGCCAGCTGAACTCCTGAAGCCACTTCTGCATCCACCGTGCCCCGAGTCACTTGTCCTCCAGAGTCACCTACCCCTGGGGTAGACCCACAGCTGTGCCTGAAATCTAGCTGCGGGGCTTTCGCCATAGTAACACGTTGGCAGAATGTGGCCTTGTAAGGACAGCTTTTATGAGAAAGAGTTTGACCAAGTTTTCTCTGAGACTCCGCAGCTCCAAGAGCCTGAACCCTGCGCTGCAGTGAGGGAGGGACAGGAGAGCCTGCCGGTCAGGTCAGGTCGGAGTGACAGAGCGCAGGCGGCTCCACCTTGTGACGGCAGAGGCTGGAAGCAGGTGGCTTCTGGCACCAGGAGAACGGACCCTGTTTCTCCTTCAAGCCTGAAGATGCAGAGCAGGATCAGTGTCCTGGTGGCAGAAGAGGAGGAACTGCGAGCTCTCTCTGGCAAAGCACCTGAGCTGGCTGAGCTGGAGCCAGAAGATGGTGAGCGGCAGCAGTGGGACTTCCCTGCTGTGGTGACAGTGGCCTCCACCTGCTGAGCTGACCTGCTCTTCACAACGTCTGCTGCTCGCCGGCAGCTTGGATCCAGATGATCCAGGGATTTGGCTTTTACGACTCTTAAGACCTCACGTGAAAATTGAGGACTGCCGGGAAGAAATAGCATCCAGTAGACAGCAGGACAAATCCATCTCCAGCAACACACCTAGCAGCTAACCCTGGAAACCATTTCCAAACGTATTAGTGACAAGAAAGCGACCAGGAGTCATCAGCACAAATTTATGCAGGGGCAATCAAGCCTCACAAACCTGCTAAACCTTCTACGACGAAATGACTGGATCGGTCATTCAGTCTTTTGATGCCACCCAAATATCCTCATTCATAGTCTGGTCGAGTGGGTAGCACTTAGGAAAACTGGCTCAGCTGCTACACTCAAAAGGTGGCATCAACAGCAAGAAGTCCAGGCAGCGACCAGTCACTAGCAGTGTCCTCCAGGGCTTGATCCTGGGGTCAGCACTGCCCCAACACCTTAATCAGTGACTGGGACGATGGACAGAGTGCACAGAGCACATCCTGCTGGAGCTGGCGGATGGTACCACTGCGAGGGGTAGCTGAGGCCCCAAAAGGTTGTGCTGCCCTTCAGAGGGCAAAGGCAGGTTGTGCTGCCTCTGAAGGGCAGCACAACCCTTTGGCACTTGGGTAGCCAGAAACCTCATGAAATCCAACAAAAGGAAGTGCCAAGTCCTGCCCCAGCAGAGCGTGGGGAGCAGCCTGGCAGAGCGCGACCTTGGGAGCCCTGGTGGACGGGCTGAACACGGGGCAGCAACGGGCTGTGGCGGCGCGAGAGGAAGAGGCCCCGGGCGGCCTCACACAGAACCTCATCCTGGGCCAGGGCAGCTGCTGCTTCCCCTTTGCTCAGCCCTGCTGAGGCCACATGAGGAGCAGGGCCCAACCGCGGGCTCTTCAGTACGAGAGAAACGTGGACGCACGGCAGCAAGTCCAGCAAAGGGCCTCACAGGTAAATAAAGGCCTGGAGCGTCTCTCTCATCCGGTGAGAGGCTGCGGGAGCTGGGCCCGTTCCGGAGGAGAAGGCTCGGGAGGAAACAACCAGGGCAGATGGTGCAGGCTCCAGCCTTGCACGCTCAAATCCTGGTTGGACACAGTCCAGCTCCGGTTGTCCCTGCCTGACCAGGGGGTTGGACTAACAAGCTCCAGAGGTCCCTTCCAACCTCGGCAATTCCCTGAGACTAGGGAAATTTTAAGGCACTGAGTTTTAAACAGATGCAGCCACGTCCTCCTGCTTGTCCGTGCCTTAGCCACCCCTCTATGGGTACAGCATCTAATACAAACACGACTGAGAGATGTAAGATGAAGTAGTAATAAAAATTACACTAGTGTCACACAAAACTTTTGTTAAGATTTTATTGGGATATTTACTGGAAAATACAGTAAGGGAAAAATGGCTATTAACTCTTTAATGCCACATTTTGCAAAGACAAAAATTCAAAAATTTCAAGAAAGGTAAGGAAAGTGATGGAGAAGAAAAAAAAAAAGAAAAGAAAAAAAAAGGAAACAGAAAGCCCCACCTCAGAGCCATAACATTTCTAACCTAACAGAAAGAGCCGAGATGAAACATGAACGGTCTTTACTGCTGAGCTCCCCATCGACTGACACCCTACAGACAGACTCCTACATGGATTTTATCTTGGCACCAATGGAAATGGATGGCTTCTTCCCCTCAGCCAGCTGCACTGAAATGCCAAATCAAAAGCAAAGATTAAAATAGGCTTTTTTTGTCTTCTTTAATGGGGATCCGTGACCAGCGTGTTTAAGAAGCAGGAGACCGGCAGGCCTACACTGAGACTTGTGCCTCTTTCTACTTCCATGCTTAGGAGTAAACATGCTATTGCTGTTGTGTTACAATAAGGAATAAAAGGAATTCTTTTCCTTCCTTCCCATAAATACAGTAGGACAAAAGAAAAAGACAGAAGACTACCTGCAGTCTAAGCCTTTGTATTCGCACAAAAGCTATAATCATGTCACAGCTCTGCTACTGAGCAAATTTGACAGAAATTCCAAAATTTTACATCATTTGAAAATCTTTTTTTCTATGCTCAGTCATTTTAATTTGGGGCGTAATTTGGGCAGGAGTATCAGTTCTTCCTACTACTGCCCCATTTTACCTTATGGTATGATCTAAGATGCAATTATTTTCCAGTTAATTCAGTTCATTTTACAATAAGGAAACACACATGAATTTGTATTTTTCTAAAGCACAGAAAATGCACTCTCTTCTCCAAGGGACAAAATAGACAGTATTTACCCTGAGTAATTAATAAAAAGTTAATTAGTTCTGTGATGAACTTAAGAAATACTGAGACTCTGAGACTCTTTTAAGACCCTAGATTTGTACTTCTTAATTATATTAAACATATTAAAATAGAACTGCATACAGTTTAAGAATTGAAATCAGCTTTTATAAAATTATATAAAATGAAAAATAAATATCTGTTGCTTATAGTTCATGCAAAATGAACTGAACTTGGATATCACTCACCCCTTCCCCAGAGTTCAATGAACACATTTACTGTAAAACAAGACATATACTTGGAGACCAGCATCTTCAAGTAAGAAAAAACGTTATTTCGCTCATGCCTTAGACGTTTGTGTTCTCAGACATGATTGTGCTAAAACTCTTGTATGTATGACTATTATTACACACCTATTTTAAGATACCCCTTGGCACTTATTAATCTAAGTATCACCATGCACTTCAATGAAGTTACACCAAACCGTTCTTGGTTTCAAACCAGTTTTGTGCTAACAGTCAAGAGGTGGAAGTGGAGAGTCCAGCGACCGTTTTAATATTACAGTGCCACAAGAAAGGTGTTAGCTCTTGCTTTTATTATTTTCAGGGTACAAATTCTCCAAAGTCCATTAAGAAACAAACCCACATGTTACGTTGCTGGTTCTGCCTTGTCGATCTCGTCCTTCTTTGCAGCCTCCTCTCGGTTTTTGCCCTGTTTCCAGGTAAACACCGACGGGCCCAGCCTCAGGATCTTCCCACTGCCCAAGCACTCGTCACCCTTGTAGAACACGGCGAACTAGGGGGTAAGCACAGGGAGGGCCCTCAGCAGCTGCACACCTTCCAGCTCCTTGCAGCTCTCAAACTTTTTCACATATTTTTCAAGTTTGGAAGCCAGTTCTCTCCAAACATATGGATAACAACAGAGTATCTGAAACTGGGAACAATCTCCTTGCAAGACAGTGGATGAAAAATCAAAAGAGAGCTACCTGCTCTCACAGGTAATCTAATCTAATAGATTAACTAATTATATCTTACAGCTAATATGCTCTGTTTTATTATCCAACTAAGCAAAAACATACACACGAAAAAGCAAAGCAGTTCTACTGACTTACCTGCCCTGGTGTGAGAGCTCTTTCTGGCTTCACTAGTGTTACCCACACGCTCCCATCTTGGTTTAGAGTCAGCACACAAGGCACTGGAACAGAACAGGGCCAAACATCTGCCAAATAATCCTTATGCTCACATGAAGGAGGTCTTCATTAATAGGCTAAGCAAATATAAGTCAAAATGCTACTAAACAGAAACATTTCATACAGATACTAGAGAAATGGAAAGGTGATCTCAAACATTTCAACTACTTCTGAAGAACTACACGGCAGACGCTTTCACAATTTTACATGCTGAATAAATTAAAAAAAAAACAAGATTTGATTACCCAGTGCCATCTGGTGCCGACATCTGAAAAGACATTCCATCATTTTATCCCTAATGAGCTCTGCAGGAGGCTCCTCTGCTATCCAGTGCACTCGATTTGTCCGCAACAGGTCTCTGTACAGCGCAGGGTGATCTGTTGTTGGTGCCTTAAAACACAATATTCATTTAATGCTGATGTTTTTGCCAGACATCTCATAACCACTGTGAAGTAAAGCAGGAAATACGGAAAAAAGCACCAAGCCATAACAAAATGAAAGCAAAATGAATGACAGCAAGCATTTATTAGCATCTATTAGCAAGCATTTATTAGCATTATCTTTCAGATGAAGGCCTTTAATGAAAAAAATACGCTAAAGCAAGCCTGGATTATTTTTCAGCCTTCTACGTTTCAAGAGTCACATAGTTCCCTGTGTTTTCTTCTCCAGTGACATTTCTGCCTTTTCTCAGGCTGTGTCCATTGTCCTCCTTATCCTAACTCAACCAGATGACACCTCCCTCTTATTCAGCTTCTCATTAAGTTATTCCTTCTTTGTAGCCCATCAAGACAAACAAGACCAAATGAGGCAGTAAGAGATGCAAATTATTTTTGAATGTACCCATGAGTTGCTGCTACAAAACTGATTTTCATCCACTGCCCTCCCACTCATGCTATTTCATCTGTGACAATACCCTATGTTAAATTAAAAGTCTCACATAGATCTGTATTGTGCTTCTGTACTTATTCTAGAAGCAGCAAGTGTATTTCTAGTGGTGCAATGTAATAAAGAAGAACTTTCACCTGCCAAAAATTCCACAATTAAATTATTTATAATTTATGCTATGCTACCAATTAAACATCATTTGATGATGTTCAGAATTTTAACATATTGCTAGCAACATTTGATGAAAATTTAGCCTGAAATCAAGAGCAGGTTTTTGCACTGTAGCTGAGAAAAGCAGCAGAATTTACAACCTGCAGGTTGTTTCTTACAACGAGAAAAGCTCTCTAGATCTCAAGATCTCTATTAACATAGAATGGGTAAAATTTATGTTACGAATGAAACTACACTTCATATAAGGTGTGGTGTGACAAACCCTAGCTGCCCATTTGTTAGGGACATGTTGCACAATTTCACTGTAGGGCATAAAAAAACCCCTAGTGGTCCTGCCTGTTTCCTTTCAACTCTGTTGTGATTGCCAGTTTTTCCCCAAGGCACATCAGCAGTAACAAAATACCTCATTACCATCATGTCACTGGCAAATAAGGGCACCAACTGTGTGAGCAGCAAGAAACATTAGTGATGTTCGCATGCTGCAGAGCCCCCCTCAACTTTCATGCTCAGTCATTAAGACACAATTTGCAGTAGTACATTCTGCCTCAATTTTCAAAATGCTAAAACTGTATTACTGGCCACTAGGTCATTTATTAAAAAAAGAAATTAGCAAAACACAGGAAGTCAGAATAATGTACATTCTAGGAAAGGTTTAATACATTGTGTCATGATAGCTACAGGAAAAGCTCTGTGCTTTAGAGCAGATAATGAGAGCTCAGTAGATGGGTTGGCTCTTCCCAGTACTTGCTGTTTGTCTCCAAAAAGCTCTGAGCCAAAATCTTGGAACAATTTTCTGCTCATCAAAAGCCAGTTTGGACAAGACGTTTCAAGATGCTGTACTAGTTGGCTCTTGTTTCTCTTAAATGGCAAGCCAAGAATTCTACCCAAGTTAACATCACATTCCATACAGCAGGAGTCATGAATCAGTCACTCACAAGGCCAGTGTTGATTAACTCACCACAAAGATATCTCCAGTGCTAACATCTTTATCTACAACGAACCAAGCATCCTTCAGGCCTGCTAGTCTAGCCCTCTGGCCTATTGTGTACAGGAACCAACCTAAAGAAATACAAAAATTCAATTCTTAACAACCTTTAATGTTTAGAAAAATGCATTTAAAAAAAAATCTCCTAAACTTAATCACTAAACGAAGAATAATGATCCCAAATGCCCCAGAGAAGTGCACAAATTACAAATCAAATTAACATCTACTTGGAAAAAAAATAACCTGTATCTGAAAAATAACTCTAAACTAATCTGCATCAATTGGTGTATTTTGGGGGGTTATAAAAGACAAACATTTCTCTATTTCAGTTTTAATTTGTGGTTTTGCTACCATTCAGTCTTACTAGGTTCCCTTACCATTTCATGCACTAGCAGAACATCATACTTCCATACATTACTTGGGATGGGAACTCAGTACTATATAAATACACACACACATATACATATATATTAGTCACTTACCATTGTGTGTTCCCATCACCTTCTTATCTTCAATAGAAACAAAGTTACCCGGCTGAGGTTCTAAATACTGTAAAATAGGAAGAGTTTGGTGTAAGACACAAGATGGCCTCAAAAGAAACTCACTGTATACTTCAGGTTCTGATACTATATTTTCTTGAAGTCAAAAAACAGCTTTTCAAAAAGGAAACCCCATCCATGCTGCTTACCAGCCCTTTCCTTATGCTGCTTTGGACACAGAAGTAGGAGGGTGGAATATGTTGCTATTTAGAACAGGACACATGGTGCTGGAGATTCCTTAGACCATGGTATAAATTATCTGGGAAAACTAGAATAGAGAACACACGTTGCCTTCTATTTAATGTTACTCACCTCAAGAAGGAACTTTCCAATGTTTCTTTCACCAATGAAACAGATTCCAGTACTCTGAAAATGAAACATAGTATTGAATCCACATAAAAGCAAAAAAAAAAAAAAAAAAAAAAAAAGAGAGAGAAATAATGCCAGAATATTAGTTATCTGATAATTTTCCTTATCTATCCCAGACTATGCTAGGTATCTCATAATACCTATAGAAATACAAAATCTGATACAACAGTATCAGTAAGTACAGAAAGGAAAAGAAATAACACATGTTCAGTCAATAAACAGACTGAATAAATAGACATATTAAGTCTTGGTGATTCTCCTGTGTGTGTACTAAAAACAAGAATTCTCTTTAAGATTAATGTACAAAATCAATACAAATTACTTAATCAAAAAACCCAACTTCATAAGCAAATAGGTCCTCCTTTGTCTTCAGATCACATCTTACACTCTTCAGGTGACCATTTACAGAGGTGAATAATAAATCAAGAGTGTATCAGCAAAACAATTGCTGTCTGTATCTATTTTTTTTATAATCATAATACAAATGTAGAAAACTATCTGCAAACTAAAATAGAGAACCAACCATGCTCATAAAAGCGGCTTTAAGCACTCAGACAACTATAAAACTATCTCCCAATGCTATTTAGTCTTTCCGATGCTTCAAAACAGTTGATTTGTCACAAAGTTCAGAAAAATCCATATTAGAGAAAAATACAAATCAATAGTTGTAAGTGTTACCATGCCTCTTTTTTCTTTAGCACATGATGAAGACCATGTTCCGCTGCTATCTTCTTTACAAAGCTTTTTGATAAATCCCCTAAAGGAAAAATGGTTTTCCTCAAAGCATCCTGTGAGATCTGACTTAGGAAGAAGGTCTGGTCTTTAAAGAGGTCAGCTCCTTGAAGGAGTTTTACAGCTGCAAAGTGCAGAACACATAAAATGTTTCAACATAAACCCCTTTAATGGTTCAACTTCCTCTAGTATATTGTTTGACAATCAAAACTTCAGTTTTACTGTTTCCATACACAGTTTAAAGACACAATATTTTTCAAAGTACTCACAACATAATTTTAAAAGTTTGGTATTTTTGTATTACTAAAGAGATCTAGAAAGATTCTGATTTTGTACAGTGCAGAATCTCACCTTGTCTCATCTTACATTACTGCACTTTACACCGGGAAAACACCAACAAAATGAAATATGAAAACATCTTTCATAAGTCAGGAGAGAAAGAACATTCAAATATCCTAAACTTTACTGCTTTAAAAAAAAAAAAAAACTGTGCTCTGACACCTCACTGACATTAACCAATAATTTGAACAAAGAGCACTCATTGCCAAAGGAGGGGCTCCAGCGAGCTCCAGAGAAGAGTCTGTGACTCTCTTATTTTAAATAAGTGAACTACAGATGAAATCTCCTGATAGCTTAGATTTATATATACAAACGTATATATATATATATATAAAGTATAGATAATCAGTCATATTCTGTCCATTCTCTTAAGATCTAATAGCTCTATATTGTACAAACTCTGCTGAGGTGTTTCATGGCTTAAATGAGCACAAATTATGAGCCAATAGTTAGTCACTTCTCATAATATCAATTTTCAAAAACAGGAGAGGAAGCCTGCTTAGCATATTATAAAATATTGCAACCGTGAATCACAATCTGTCACAGTGCAGACTATTGGTGCTGCTGGAAGCATTTCAACTTTTCAGAAGTAAAAGAAGATACATAATAAAGAAACAAATAAATCCCTTTAAATCCAGAAAAGGAAAACAAACAAACAAACAAACAAACAAAAGCCACAAATAAAACCAGGAAGCAAAATTCAGAGAAGCCACCATGGTAGCTTTACAAAGTGCTAGTATGCAAGTTTCTTGCCTTTGGGTGCACTTGCACCTTGCAGTTTCAGAGCAGGCAGAACTTTCATCTGCCTCAGACAATCAGTCCTCTAGAGAAAAGCTGAGACTGAAAAAAATGAGACTTGCTACAGAAAAATTGGAAATTGAGGACTCAATAACAGAATATCTGATTTTTGTGGTAAAGTAATATATAGTCCAATGACTGCCTAACAGTATGCTAATAATTTTAACCTTTCAAGACCTTAATTCCCACATTCTGCTTCAGCATATTGCTGCGATGAGTTCTAAATATAAAACACACTAAATAGTCAAAGAACAGACAGGCCCTAAAACTGCAAAAACATATTAAGGAAGTTTTATGTAGGTCATGCAAGTAGTCAAATCAGATGTCTTGAAATATTTCCCCACATTATAGAAGACAGCCAAGTCTTTTTAACTATATTAAAACTGATCAGAATGTAGACTCAATAGGACTAGATTCTTAAAACAAAAAATTTAATACTTCACTATTTAGTGTAATCTCCATCAAGGTAACTCCCCTTTTCTGTCCAGTCATCTTTCTACAAAGGCAGGGTCAAAATGGTAATTGCATTTTCACAAACACTAGGTGTATGTAACGTAATGAACTGATTTTGTACAGCTGAATATAGTTTAAATTTCTCCTTCCTACCAAGCACAAAATATGAAATAAGAAACCACTTACTGTTTCTAACTTCAAAACGGTTTCTGAAAAGTCCCTGTGGTCTTTTAATGTGTTTCTGTTGAAAAACTTCCTCCTCCTCTAGTGAGGTTCTAGCATAATGCCCAGTAGCAATTGCATCTGCCCCTATCAAACAAGAAAAAACATCATGAAGGCATATATTTGACATTTAAATTAAAATATATATATATATATATAGAAATGCCTAGGACAAAAAACAGAGAGTAAAGAAGAAAGAGAACAGCAAAGAGAACCTAATAAGAACTGAGAAGCCTAATACTGACAGTAAACACGCTCCCGCTATTTAAACAATGCAAAATAAAACCTAATGCTCAGGTCAGCATATTTCCCTGAATTAAATCTGTTCCTACACAATCTAAAAGCAAGTTCAAAGCAAAATACTTTAGAATTAGTAAAATATTGTCATAGAGATGCCCGAATTATGCATGCATATCAATTCATATGTTTTTTCCACCTTTTCAAGGGTTAGTTTCCTTTAAACATTTCCACAGCATCCACTGTGCACTGACACTGTATTTGAACAAGGCTTACCAAGGTTATCCATGGCGTAGTGAAGAAAGTAGTTGAATTTGATGTGCTTGTTGCATACAATATCAGGATTAGGAGTCCTTCCCAATTCATACTCTTTTAAGAGGTCACTGTAAAATAAAAATTCAAATGTACGTAAACATCATTTATGTCACAAAATACTAAGCAAGACTGAAGCATTTGCTAAACAAGAAAATTTGACACCCAATCTCAGTAAGCATTTTAAGTAAGAAATAAAATAGCCATCAAATTTTAATCCACAAAACAATGTTTGGGAGATTTTCTCCAAAATGGATTGAGGGCATGGTCAGATGATCACTCATAAATCACTGTTCCCTCAACGGAGGATGGGAACCAAGTGTGCAATCGCTGCTTATTTCTTGAAATTCTCTGAGAATTAAACAAACCTGCTTAATTTTGCACTGCAGCACTGTAGTGGAGCACACACCAGGATTTACTGGTCTCAGATGAGAACTATAACCCAATCTGCACTAATTCCACCATAAGCAGCCATGGGACCCTGCCTTAATTTAGGATTGAAAGATTGGTAATTTTTTATGCTTATTTTTCTTTCTTAAAAAGTAAATAAATAAATACATTCAAGTACAGTTTCGCAAAGACAGAGAATTGTTTTTCACTTTCATACAACTACAGTGCTTATCACTATTTGCTTAAAAATGCTTAAATGACAACTTATAAAATTAAAGAATCGTACAGTGCTGCCCCGGGATATCAAAAAGCTTCATGACTCGTGTTTTGCCTGCCACTGGGTGCCATTTGAGCCCAGAGCTACTGAGGGCATAGATTAGGAAAAGATAATGAACTGCATTTAAAAGGACATTAGCAACTCTTCACCACTCGAAACAGAATCAATTGCATAGTGCTTACCACATCACATTTCACAGTCATAAATGGATATAAAGCAGTACAGTTTTTCTTTAAATTATCCACTTCAGTTTAGAATTCAAAAATTTATGCTAATAATTAATTCACCTGCATCTACCTTGCTCTGTCCAGCTCGCCCTGATTCAGCACTGCACTCTTAAGACAACACACTATTCCTCTGTGAATATTTCAATATATTGGATCCTTTCCAAAAGACTTAGCACAAAGTCAGGCTTGGAGCAGCATAGCAGAATACCCACAGTAGCAAGCAACAAGCAGTGAAACTACACAAACTTCATCACTTAGCAAGGGGGAGACCTAACAAGAGAGAGCCACTGCAAGCACATTTGCCAAGGAAAAGAGAACAGGAAAAAAAACAAATGAAGGATGTCTAGTCTTAAGCAAAGTTTTCAAGCAGTATTTGTAGACATGGTGGAAAAGGGAAGATCTAGGATTATATATGGCATTTGAAGACCCTTTTTGCAGCACTTTTTTTCCACATTCTGCAGAAAGACAGAGCCAGCATGTGAGATATAGAAAAAACTAGCATAATGACCATTGATCAAAAAATAAATTAGTATACACCTACTACAGGCATAACTATGGAGAAATCTACTAATTTCATAAACAAGAAATAGACTAAAACCAATCTAGAAATTCTAATATTAAATATGGACAAAAAAAAAGTTCCTTCTGTATTTAAGCGGCTCCAGTTCTTTCTTTTGTCACTATTAATAATGCAGTAAATTCCCTCTGCCTATTCTCAGTCCATTTTCACTCTTCACAGCAACACAGTGCTATAGCACCACGCTAAAGGACCACGTACTCGAAGCACGTCACTACCTGAACACTTCATTCCAGTATTCCTTCACATAGGAAACCTGATGAAAAGGAATATCCAGCTTCTGGCAAACCCGGTAGGCATCTTCGCACTCCCTGTCGCTGGCACAAGCTCCCTGCTCATCCAGGGGGTCCCAGTTCTTCATGAAGACGCCTGTCACTTGGTAGCCTATGGCACGAAGGAAATGAACACAAATTATTACAGCATGGACCTAAATTCTGTATTTTTCAAGACCTAGGTGGGTAAGAAACTCAAAAAGATTTCAGGATTTCTGTGTTAGTCAGGCATATTTGGAGCATTTCACAGTGTGATCACTGCATATTTTCCACAGTGGCTGGTTCAGTAAGTACCGCAACAGTAAACTATCTCGCGCACTGGGCAGGATTTCAAAATTTTGCGTAGTTTCCGTTAACGCTCATTTCTTCAAGCGCTTCCTCGCCCGCGTCCAAACCTACCCACCCGCCCCGGGCCGGGCCGCGGAAGGCCCCGCGGCGCGCGCACCTCTGCGGCGCAGCAGCAGCGCGGCCACGGCGCT